GCACTTCAACCTAACTTCTTTATTTTCTTCATGCAACCTGACACATATTCTCATCACAATATCGCATCAGTCAGCCATCTTAATATGGCTTCAGTGTCCTCAGTGACCAGCTTTCCAGTTTGAAACAAAGCCAAGCAACTTTCATTGATGTGTGAATCGGAATTTCCATTCTTACTCACTCATGCCAAAGATCCAACTTGAAACTCAAAAAATTCCATTACCCAGTAAAGAGAATATATTCCAAAATTTCAAAGCTAACAACTTCTTAATTTCATCCATTATCCATATACATTCTGAACAAAATGATCAACCACATAAAATAAATCCGTCCACTGCAAAACATTGCCCATTATAGGGAGCTAACTAAATTATACCAGATGCTTATAATCTAGATTTCAAAAAACAGCAAACATATGGCTCCACAAAATCAAAAAAATTGTCGCAGAAATAGTTCTATAGGATTTTCACTTGAGCAGCTATTATTGTAGCATTCACATAATGAACTGTGTCCAATGAGTGCAGCCACTTGATCCTACGAATCCCGCTTATCTGAAACCCCAATTCACTTCTCCGAAAGTCCTCAGGTTTGCAATTTGACAAAATGAATTCAAAATCAAGTCTTCAAAAACAGAGTTCAACAAGTCCGCTTTCGGGTTGGCTCGTTCATTATTTGTCTTGTCTGTGTCATCCACTGGATCCTAATTCCTATCTCACCCAAAGCACCTATTCAACAGAAAAAAGTACGGTACGTCAAATTATAACACACAGGAATTAGACGGACTCTATCTAATTTACCAACGCTCACTCAGATTTCAGATCTGATCACTGACGGCAATAAGAAAAAAGAAAGCCAAATAAATTGAGTCAATTTCTGCATGAAGAAAGCAAATTATGATGGCATTATGAGGACAAGCATGGCGGGTGGCACTGAGGCACAAAATGCTCCATAAGAACACTTCAAATAATTACTCACCTTTCTTGACTGGAAAATGCTTCAAAGCTACGGTGAACCAAACTTGAAGAATAATTTTGAAAATGTCAGCACTCTCCTGCAAAGTTTACTTGAAGATTGGCACCTCATGTACCAGGTTTGTTATTTGCCAAATGCCACAAAGCAGAAACACATACAAACAATCTTGGTGGTTCAACTTTGGTCTCGTTTCGTAACAACTGTCCTGTCTGGGTCAAGGAGACATCCCCAGAAACACCCCTGTTCAATACATGAAGCATACAAAAACATTCAAAAATTCAATCACCTGACCACAACATCTGAGACATGCTCATGATTAGCATGCAAGGCAAAAAAGCAGTACAGTATATCCCCAATGATGGAATGCCTCTTTTTTCAGGTAGCAAGCTTTGTCATGAGAAGTCCAGCAAATGGAATGATCCTTGAGTCTTCACAGAACACAAAATGATTTGAAGTGCCCCTTGATTTCCTGAGCGGATTTCCCACATGAACTTCATCCTTGCAGTTCCTGTTTTTACAAATGAAAAACAACAACAAACCATGCTAATAACCAAGTCCCAGCAATCTGCACCGTGGAAAACCTGTGGAGGGATTAAGGGAACAACCACCGGAAGGTTGCCAAATCTCCCCTTTATCCCTTGGACGGTGGCAGCCTCCTTTCCATCTCAGGGCGAAGTCAGACTTTTTCCTGATCGGTGTGCATTATATTTTTGCACAAGGTTATGCAGCCCCTGCCAGGGTGTCGGGTATGGTTCCCTACTATCTTATTTTCCATTGTGGTCAGTAGATGGATTAAGCGGTTTCAACCATTCAAAAAGAAAAGGAATTAGCGCACGGGCCTCAGGAATGTGCGCCAGGCGCTGTGGGCTAATACTCCGCAAATTGTGCGGAAAGTAAAAGGGTATTTTTGAAAGGGGGACCATAACTTTCCTCCAAGTCTCAGGTATACAAGGAATACTAAATACGCTTTCTTTGGAAGTATCCAAGTTGCCTGGTGTCCTGTTGAATAGTTTTACTATGTCTTGACTATGAGTTGCTTTTGTGGCCTATATTGCCCTATGGATGTCGAATCGTCATCACAAAAGGGTGATGAGTTTTATCAGGCGTAATTTTCGGGAACATGCAATTTGCTGAGCATCTATATTTTTCAAGCGCAGTGTGTATTTAAACGCTATTCCAGAAAATATAATTTTATTTCATTTAAATTCCCTCCTACGATCTCTTTTTTTTATCCTTGTGGGTTGAACAATGTGGGATAATATAGTAGGAAACCATTCCTAGGACCACCAGGTGGGGGAGGGCAAAGTCGGATTTTTTCCGGGGATAATGAAATGTTGGGAAATTCCTGAGTTGGACTTTTTCCATGTTGACCTCCAACCTAGGCTGGACCGAAAGTTCGAATTTAAATTAGAAACTTACCCCTTTGTTGTGTTCCGGTCCCTTTTTTTCCCTCGGAACTTCGAAAGTAAAAAAGTAAAAGTCCACTTTAAAAAGACACCTTTTAATTTTTTTTGCCAGGATTTTTCCGGACTTCGCCCTGCACACACTGTTGGGGTTTTTTTCAATTCCACTCTGGAGTGCCACAAAAATCTGCGAAAAAAAGTCCAACTTAGCCGCAGAAGGGTTGAACAGAGTTCCATATTCCAGAAGTCTTGACATGTATTTCCTAAGGGTTTGTAACGGGGTCCCCGCGCGACGAAAGCCCCGCGCGACAATAGCCCTGACACGAAATCCCCGCCATACCCGCGCACAGCTGTAACGAAAGCCCCGCCTGAACTATTTTTCAGGACTGGTAGTCTTTGGTAGTCGCCGCTGGTTAAACTTCATTACTTTGCTACTGATTGAGGGAAGTACACGAGCTCTTGAAGAAAAACAATGATTTAAAAAAAATGAAACAAAACAAATAACAAAAGATTACAATAAAATTCAAAAAAAAGAAAAAACGGGGAACAGTTTTTATTTACAAAAAATGAAGAGTCTTTGAAATATTTTCCAAAAGATCCGAGCATTCAATAAGTCGGCTTTGATAATCTTTGCACTATCGACGCAGTTTTTTCTGGCGATCTCTCTCATAAGTCCACAGTTTCTTTCCAACCAGGCCATTGAAATAGCGATTCCAAGCTTCACTGAAATTGTTAGTCGCGCCAAGATCATTGAGCACAGCCTGATGAATGTTCCACTTCTGTGGCGGAAATGTTGGGGTTTGTCTGGTGAAAACAACTGGGGCAATTTTTTTGGGCACTTGACTTGATGGTCCCAAAAATGGAAAAATCCCACCATTTGGTTACTAATTCGCTGCCTGAAACAAGACGCTGCATCAGTTGCTACAACGCTGAAGAAATTTGACGAAGATGGTGTCATTCCACATAAGCAAGTGTCGACTTTTGAGAGAGATCGCCAGAAAAAACTGCGTCAATTGTGCAAAGATTATCAAAGCCGACTTATTGAATGCTCGGATTTCTTGGAAAATATTTCAAAGACTCTTAATTTTTTTTAAATAAAAACTGTTCCCCGTTTTTTCTTTTTTTGCATTTTTTGTAATCTTTTGTTATTTGTGTTGTTTCATTTTTTTTAAATCATTGTTTTTCTTCAAGAGCTCGTGTACTTCCCTCAATCAGTAGCAAAGTACAGTAATGAAGTTTAACCAGCGGCGACTACCAAACTGACTACCGAAGACTACCAGTCCTGAAAAAATGTTTGGGCGGGGCTTTCGTTACAGCTGTGCGCGGGTATGGCGGGGATTTCGTGTCAGGGCTATTGTCGCGCGGGGCTTTCGTGTCCCGGGCTTTCGTCGCGCGGAAATAGTGACGGTTTCCCGGAATTGTGCTGGGAGAACATTTCAGCCTCTGTATATTCTTCCTATTTTGGTAATCGTAACTAAATTGTATCTCAGTATATTGTGATGATTTTTTACAAATTTGGGTAGATGACACTGCTCGTCACGATCGACTTCAGGTTCTACGCCCGACTTCTCCCAATCGAACATTTAATTTTTTGTACGCATGAGATTTGCTATTATAGCAGATTTGCAAGTGGGACGCCACTCACTGTTCGTGTAATGTTGAACTTCGTGGGAACGACGAATATACGTTGAGGCATTTTATATTTTAATTTATGGAAAATCGAGAACAGTTCGTTCATTTTGTCTTACATTCGATCTGCACGTATATATCTTATATATATATATATGTATACTGTATATATAAATTTAAAAAATAAAAAAACCTTCAGAGTTGGCACATTTTGAGTGACTAATGCTTCCAACTAGTCTAGATAATTTGTTGTGCGTTTCACAGTCTCGTTCATCTAAACTCAGCAAATGTTCTCTCGTTCAATTCGTAGTGTCATCCTGCTTCGAATGACGCCGAAGACGTCATCGACGAGTCAACCGCCGTAGAAATGGAGTCCTCTGGCCGCCCAAAAACACTTCCGGTGATGTAGAAGTGATGATGCTGAACTGCGTAATGTGACATCGAATTTTACATTCAACCGGGGAATGGGAGAGAAGAAAAATTTGCCTTCTGATCGCATACCACTTCCTCGCATCTGTGAGACAATCTTCTTCTCAGTGATATAATTGTTGCGCACCGTTGCCGGGAGGAACTATTGATCGATCTCGAATGTTCTGCCGTGACGGGTTTTCCTTGGGTGTATTTATTTTTGTGAAGGAAAGTATTTCCGAAATATTCTAGTCGTTGAATTGTCCTCCCTTCTTGGTTAAATTGAATTGATTTTAATGTTGGTTTTCCTATTGAGCACTTGATAGAAACTAGAAAAAATCATTGGAGTGAAAGCATATTCTATTCCCCTATTTCCCCGTCCGTAACTGGAATGAATTGCTTCGCTTGTAATTCTTAGATTCGGTAGGAATTTTTTACGCTTTTACGGCACTGTATAAAGGTGAGGGATAAGTGTTTCATTTTCTGTAGAATCCAAATTATAACGTTTGGCACTCAAAATTCTCCGAAGTGTGAACGATTCCGGATTTAGTTGAAAGCATCCTGTACAAAAAAAAAGAAAAAAAATCTAGTCGACCAGAAAGCTTCTTTTTATTGCAAAGAAGTCTTGGCTTTAATGTCGTCCGTTCATTCAAGTATTGTACTCGTATCTCATATAGTCAATTTGCACAAATGCTTCGTGATCTTCTGAGTCAATTGTGGGATGGGTATTTCGAATTCATTGCCAAAGTTTTATTTCGCGAATGGAATTTAAGGCATTCCGGGTCTTTCCATGTTCGTGTATTCAGATTTTATTTGAAAAGCAAGCGGAAAAATTAAGTGATCCACGAAGGATTCCTTCACGCATTTGAAGTATGAACACAAATTTCGGAACATTTTTTGTTGTTTCACGAAGTCCGCCACGCCGTGAGGTCAATGCCGGAAATAGCGAAGCAGGGAATGAAATGAGGAGATTGTTTGGCAGGCACAGTGAACACGTCTGGAGTAGTTACCTCGATGTCATCGCCGTTATCGCATATTACTTTGGCGAGAGTGGTTTTTCGGATTTCTTGAAGTTGTTGCGGCGTGAAAGTTCCGGGCTTTTCGTACCAGAATCTTCAAAAGATAGAATCAATAAATATATTAACATTGGTGATCTAGCCGATGAATGCCGTGTTCAGCACACCTGTCCCCGTTTCGAAGTTTCTTGAACTGTTCAACGATGATGCATTGGGGAGTCGGTCCGAGGACAGAGCCAGGTAGTGGGTCTTCCGCTAAGAAGCCTACCCATGGATCCATGTTTCCTATACCGTCACCAAGAACACATCGGAAGATTCACGAAAAGTTTCTCTCTATTTTCGCGATATATTTAAAAGAAACTGAAGTGTTGCTGTAGGTCCATGACTCTTGGGCAAAAGATGAGCTCGTCATGCGAGGGTTGTCCCAGTTGAACACAACCTCCAACATTTTTAAAGCTAGTGTTATTGTAGAAAAAAAATCATGACATAGCCCATGAACTAAGATTTTTCAGATTTTTAGAAGAGTTTTTTAATTTGCTGCATGATGAGTGAAAATTTTCGTCACAACCCATGTCACAGGATGTTGAAAATTTGTCAGGATATCGGAAAAAAATTGATGCCATGATCTAAAATGTATGAAAGGTAAATGTTGAAACTGCAAAAACATTTTTTTAGTTGACCTGACAATTTCTTAGAATCCTATGACTTGAATGGAGAACTCTGGCTGTAACTGGAAAATTTTCACTTATCATGCAGTGAATTTAAAAACTTATGCAACAACAACAAAATCCCAGAAGCTTTAGAACATCCTGGGCCATTTTATGATTTAAAAAGAAATTTTTTGACGATCGCACATTTTAGAGGTAGCGTCCAACTGGGACCATTATCTTAAATTATCAAGACTTCGAATAATGACGAATCGCAGATGAAACTTACCGGGGTGTCCGTACAGTTGGAACAGTTTCTCCCTCAACTTCACGTTCCGAATGACATCCCAAAGTTCATCGAAATTCTGCGGCTCTCCAAACCCGCAATGTTTCCTCCAGGCTCCATATCCTGGTAGTCCGTGGTCTCGTCCCCTTTGAATATTTATTGCTGCCAGATCCAGAGGTATCCTGTGCGCGCCCTCAAATAACCTTTCTGTCAAGTCAACGTTCATGAATTCATCGACGGGTTTCCTGCTTTTCGAGGGAGACACCATCAGCCCTCTGAGAAGAGGATCAATCCCAGTCTCGTTGATGATTCTCCAAGGAGAAAAGAACGCCAAGTGAAGTGGTAGATGGCCTGCGGAATCTGGTAAGAAGTTCCGGTCTAATCTGAGGAGCACAGGGTTCACCAGCGCATGGCCGAATCGGAATGCCGCTGTGGCGAAGACGTTAGAAATGGATGGATCCAAGCTGGAGTTGTAGCCGGTGTAGCTTCCCAGGTTCGCCATGCCCTATATGAATTTTTTTTGTTGAGCAAGTGTCTTTTTTTATCTTTTGTTGAAAGTTTATTCCAGCAATCTTTAGACGTAGTTTTAGTAGTAGAGAAAACTTTTCAACATTTTGGGCGTTCTTCCATGATATGCTAAGAATTCATAGTTTTCTTCCGGTCAGGCTGCAATGAGAATGAAGAATGCCTAATATGAAGGGATCGAACTGGAAAACGCACTCCAGGCTTTTTGGTTCCTTGGTATGACTTCTTCCTTGGTATGAAACCCACTCACCATTTCAGTGCATTAGAAAACTAATGTTTGATCATTTCTAACTTCTCTCAAGCATCTGCTGTCAATATTAAATTACAGTAGTATTATACAATGACTTTTTTTGTGTGCAATAATCTAGTGTAAAAACTGCCACGAGTATCCTGCAGTTCGAAGAAAATGACTTCTGTTGAGGTGCCATGTCCATTAATCAAGAATGCTGAATGATGTTTTGAATGTAAATGTAATTTCAACGGTTCTTGATTGCCTAACTTATACAGCAAAATCACGTTACAGCATAGTCGTTGGGACCAGTAAAATAGCTTTGTTGTAACGAAAAATTCTTTCTGACCGAACGCTTTCAACATTGTGGCTACTGGGCAGAGGCCTAAAATTATCATGTATTCGATTTTTTTGTCATTATGAGATTCTACGGTATACGCATTTGTTTTTCTCAACTTCATCGCTGTCCTATAGGTGAAAACATTGAGGTTAATTGACAGGGATTTGGGTGAAGGATTTGAAAACGCATTAATGAAAAGTTTCAAATGCCCGTCAGCGGAAAATGGATTTTAAAACCTCATGAAAATGTTTCCCAGTTGTTTTTGTGTTTCATTTAATTGATGTGAACTGTGGATTTTTTTAAATTAACGATCATGAGTGGGAAACACACCTGTGGTCCTAGTATTTTAGGCAGCCAGTGTTCATACGTGATAACTTGCATTTCGGCTCCGACGATTTTTCTCGCTACCGCGAAAATTTCGTCCCCGGACGACGACGGTGACTGTGTCTTTAAAACGTTGGCGATTCGATTGTGCTCCCGGAGCCACAAAGTGTGCATTGCCGTCAGTCCAACTTGTACGTTCACTCGAACATCCCCCGCCAAGAAGCACTGGATTTCCGATTCATCTATGCTTGGGTTTCTTCTGCAGTCTATAGGCAGGTTGTTCTCGTTGATCGGCAGCAATCCTTTGCCTGTTGGCCCTGGAAGTCCAACTCTGAGGAGTCCGTCGCCTGTGAAGTTTCGAAGAATTCTGGCTTCTCCCTCTGTTGACCCGTATACCTACGGAAGATGCAGGAAAAGGCAAGACTTCATGTTGCTGTTCTTCGTATGCGATCTACCGCGATAATTTTACATGATGCGAACTTTTCCCGTTGACGGATTTTAGCTTCATCTGCATAAACATCCATTGCACACTATTTTAATACACTAAAAGTGTGTCGAATAACGCATAAAATCCATGATCCATTTTCGAGACTATCGTAACAGTTGTCATTATTGTACTGTATATTGCACTAGTATGTGGGCCAGTCAAAGTAAGACTGTTCGAGAATCTTTATCTCCTGAATAGTTCGAGGTACAAATGTTGCAAAGAATATTACTTCGTATTAAAGCAAATTTAATCATGTTCAAAATATATTTAATTATGGCTTGGATTGCCTCGGTATGGACAACGCCTACGTTTGAGAGGGAAATCCCGAAAGGTTTCTATATTAAGGATCGCAGGAGTCTGTGCATTGATTCTCTTGGTTCTTCTCAGCCTTTTGAACAGAAAGCCTCGAAATGTATTTAATATTTTGCGATACAGTAATACAGTACAGTACATTGCCTTTTTTGTGTTGCCCGAGACTTCTTTCTCTCGAATCTTTTTACAATATTTTTGTCAGGATGGAAAATAGAAAGCGAAAATTCTGGTGGCAGCAGATCTTAGATCCTGTTCTGTTTCTGGGCTTCGTTCTTGAAAAAGAGGAGGAGGATCTTTAAAAAATCCCACTTTTGTTTCACAGCATTACTAATTTGAAAAAGTTCAGTATATGAGCAAAAAATTTTCAGATTCTCTTTTTATGATATGATTGTCATTTCTCTGCGGAATTTCCAACGTGACTTGTGTTTAACCATGAAAACTAGTTGAACACGCGTCAGAATACCGTAATATCGTGTACCTGAGAACCATCTATGAATGCCGTCACTTGATTGATTTGCTCCCTTGGAGTGACAGTGTTCATGAAAATCGAGGTCGTTCCTGATCCACACACAGAGCTGCTTCTCGTGAATTCCATGCATCCCCTGTTCCTGATGCGCAAGTCTCCCGCAGGAATGGTTATTGGAAAACAAGGAGGATCATTGAGGCAAGTGCTGCGAATTTGATAGGTGTTTCAAACTACCGTATGGCCGAGGATCAGCGATTACTAGAATTATTATTACAGTATTTATAAAAACCTGTTGCATGGAACTCCCGTGCTGAAGGAAGCTGTTGCGAGTGATGGGATGGCGTGATCCAGATCATGGTCCAAAAACTGTCCCCACTGCATTACCATGTGGCTGTTGAATTCGTCGGGTTGGACAAATCTGGAACTGATGACTGAAGTCGATACTAGCCGCGCACTCGGTCTCGGGAATCCGTGATAAAGCTTCCCAATATTCCAGCCTTCGTGAAAAGGAAGAATAATCGTGCCCCGGATCAAAAAATATTGTAAATTCACTTCGGAGAACGTGCAAGATTCTGATGTCTGAATCATGAAAATCCTTGCGTTGCATGTAACCTTGTTCTGAGAATTATACTTAGCCTCGACGGTGAATCTAAACCCTTGCGCGAGATCATGGTACAGTATTTAAAAATGTGCTTTTGTTTTTGCAATCTTGACGAAAGAGAAGTTAGCATAAGTAAGCATTTTTTGTCGCACAAAAAAAACATTCGGAGAGTGATCCAAAACATATCGGACGGAGTTTCACGCTGGAAAAATCTGGAGAAAAGAACCACGATTGCTGAAAAGCTGAATTCGAGCTTCTCGAAGTTTAATGCCTTAACTCCTGAATGGTACATTTTTTTACATCCTCCGTCTGATAAACAACATTGATGTTTTCTTTATGATGAAACGTAAATTCATGAAACATTTGGAAATAATTTGATTGAGCTTATTTGTTAGCCTAAATGTAGCTTTTTAAACTTTCCCCCCTAAAATTCATGAAAGTTAGCCTACAATTTGTTTGCGTCAATCTGTGCATGTTCATGAAAAGTTGGCGCGGGAAATCTAGTTTCACCTGAAGAATTCTAATAAAAATCTGAATTCAATCAATTTCGTTCTTACCAATAGGAGTGTTGAGTCCGTTCTCGTAAATTGGCTGGATGAGTCTGTGAAATCCCGTTAACGATGCACCCCAGAAGGGTTTCTGCAAATTGTTGCAAGTGCCGTCGATTGATCTGTATTTTTCGTGGTAAACGTGATCCGAGCAGGACACAGGGTGCCTGTGCTCATTGCAGCCACTAAGCGTGCTGATCAGATTGAGCTCATAGGTGTTCAGCACATTTTTGTACGAGAAATCTGAAAATTGATTAGTTCTTGATGTTGGGTATAGGAACTTTCCAGTGGATAGACATGTGAGAAATTAGGGCTAACATCAGGAAATGTTTTCTTATTGTCCGCTTCAAGCCACTGAAAAAACTATATACTTGTATTGCACAGAAATTAACCTTGACGTGATATTTTTTAGGAACATTATAAAACATTGTAAATTAACACCATGCCATTGCCACTCTCAACATTTTAAATATATTTTCTTTTATTACAAGAAAACTGATCATCCACAAATTTTGAATTTTCAATTGTGAAAAACAAAATACAGTATAGTATTCTACACTACAATAATCTTTTGATTCTTAAACTCTCATGACACGCTTCCAGCATCCTGTGAAATGAGTGGGAAATTTGGGCTATAACGAGAAATTCTTTAGTTTTCATCATGCAGTGTCTTGAGGAAAAATGCATTGAAAATCTGCAAAAATAGCCAATGCCTACATTAATTGGAATACTTTTCTATTTTTAACCAAGTTAGAAATGTCTATGTACGTCAGTGAGAAAACCCTCGTAACTTCTTGAAAACAATGCATTGCAATTACTATACGTAAAGCAAATGAAGGATCACTTGAATTGTATTTTTAATACATCAACCTGGCGAGTGATATTAGGACTACGATGTACATTTTTAAACCACATCTTTGAGCAGATAAGGTTTCTAGATTTTTTCTCTCACTTCAAATTTGAATTTTCAGTTTTCTTCATTCAGTTCTTTATGATGCTTTAATCTGATCCTCTGAAGCGCTCTGATTTTCTTCGTAAAATCGTAAGATGGTTTGTATTTCATGTTCGAGTGGATGTGGTTATCCTAAAGAACTCGCTTTGCTTTGCTTGCGGTATACTGTATTATTATTGCGAAGCTCTTATGAATTTGAGTTTTCACGAAGTTTCTTTTGTTCGACTTATTAAAATGTCTTGTCATCTCGAGAATCAATTTCACCTTCGGCGTTAAAAGACAATCCGGCTTGGACATGTTTGTCAATGATGGCCAGAGTTCTTTCGAAAACCTCCCCGGCAGTTGCTAATTGTCTCGCGGTGCTGTTCCTGTTCTGAAAAACCTGCAACAGACTTGATGGCTGCCCGTCGTCGTCTCGCCGCTGCAAAATCCTCATCACTGTGTCCTCAACGGCTGTTTCAATTGACTCTCTCGCAGCCAAAACCGTGCTGGCCAGAAAGTCACGCCTATTCTCGGTAAGATTTTGATTTGAAAATTCCTTGTGAGGCGTTATAATTTCGACTTGGGTCCTGCTACTGGTGAGCCCGACGTCATTCATGCCCACGCATTCGTAGGTTCCGGAATTGATTTCTGTCGCTGATACGATTGTGATGGATTGCAAGTTCACCCTGCAGAGAAGAGGGTTCTTACACGAGGTCCAGATTTTGAACAATGAGAAAAAGGCACTTTTCCGTCATCTCCTACCTGTGCTTCTCGTTAACTTTGATTCAGAATTGTGCTTATTCTTTTTTGCATGTTTGCCATACTGACAACAGTATTGTATCATCCCCGAAGTGTCTTAAATCAGTGCTTTAAATCACCCGTTTTGGAAACGTTTGCGCTTCACATCAGAAAAGGAATTTTAAAAATGAGCAAGTAGAATATGATATGTTGTATATCATTAGATATGACCCACTCTATGTATGCCGACATTTAATTTATTGTCACCGGCCATCTCTAGAAAATTGTCTGCTTGCAAATACCTAATATTAGGTGACTCCGTCACCCTGAATTCGTTGAAAGTCCATTGAATATTTGGCACTGGGTTTCCGTCTATGATGCAGAACAAGGTCAAGTTGGATCCGACCGAAGCAGTGAGGCTTTGGGGCGGTTTTTCTACGAATTTCGGAGCTTTTATGTCATTTGGAACGTGTAGGTTAGCCGACGATGTAAGGTTCTTGACAGCGTTTCTAATAATGCAATCATATCTTCCTTTGTCCGAGGTCCTGGCTTCCGACAAACTCAAAATTTTACCTAGAATCAACATCAGTACGCTGTAGACATTTTGTATAAGTGCAGCTTTTGAGATCTTACCATCTGTTGAAATTGAAATTCTGCTGGAATTGGTTAATGGGAACCCATCCTTTTGCCAGAAAAATTCCGGTTCGGGATAACCTACACCATCGCAGCGGAACTCGACCACATCTGCGCTTGCCACTGGGATTGCTTGACTGAAAGGTTTTTCTACCCATTCGAGATAATCTGCGGAAAATTCGTTCTGTAGTTTTTCAAATTTCGGAATGAATGGGTGTTGAAGTTTTTGTGCGCAGTGTATCGAATACTTCTCCAACGAAGGATTCCACTTGAGGATAGTATGAAATATCTGAATTTCGACGTACTCTTGAGTGCACAATTGTCTGTATGTTCATCGTCCATGTCTGTGTATTACAATATTTTAAAATTTTAAGCTGAAGGGATGATCATTGAACAATATTTTTTTAAATTTAAACTTCTTTGAACTTGAAATATTGGATCATTTCGAATAAATTACACTTCCATACTTATTTACACAAAATTGAGAACTCCGTGAGATATGACGCCTTGCAAAATGATAAATTACGAAGTGCTCCAGGGAAACTTCGAGCTTTTTAAAATTTAATTTGTAACATTCATTGATACCGTGTACAGTATTTGTATCTTGACTTTTCATGGTACAGTATTATTTATTTATTTTCGCACGATTATTTGTGTGGTAAAATCATGTCGAATACATCTTAATTGCAGTTGACGAATGGATGCAGTGCTTTGAAGTTGACTTAGGTAATGAGTCATTCCTCCTCAGTTATAGCGGCGTCCCGCTATTCGCTCGAAAATTCAGCTGCAGATTTTGGAATTACTGTTCTGTACCTCGTGAAGACGCAAGATGTGGAGGTTTTGTACAGTTGAGTTTGTCGAGTGAAACAGAATGCACATCCCATCCATCAAGTGCCGGTGGAGCCGCACATGTTCCAGCCATGACGAATCCCCCTCTGGCTGGAGATGCCAGTAGCTCGATCATCCATTTCAAACTGCAGTTGCAGTGAAGAGGATTTCCATCTAACCGTCTGTTCCATACAATTAGATGCATGTAAATCCGAATTCCAGTTGAGGACTCACAAGCGTCTGATTGACCATATGACGGGAAAAGCACCTTGTTGAATTTCTCGGATTTTGTTGTATTGGAGAAATCTGATTCAAGAATGAGCAAGTTCATGCCATTCATTTCACAATTAAATTCGGCACTTACAGGCGTTGCATCCTCGACAGACTTGCGAAAGCTCCTTTCTGCAACGACTTGAGTTTATTGTAGTGCAAATATCTGTACACATAAAAAGCATCGACTGATCACAATCAAGTAACGCTGGATGACAATTTATGATCGGAAAAAAAGGTTTACGCATTGATCTCACAAGTGCTCCAGGTTGGGGGTATCCACGAAAACGTCTGCTTCCATTTCGAAAATCTGATTTTTGTACAAATGCCTACAAAATTTGTTGAAAAAGACAGTGTTCGAGTTACAATTCCCTCAGTTTTTTGAAAACTCACAGGTACTTCAGGTTATGTAGCCCTTGGAAAGCCCCTCTCCTAAGCTGATGGATTTCGTTGCTACTCAGTATCCTGAAAAAATCGGATGAAAACTTCGCCATAGGATTTTTGGTACATTCCTCTTTACGGTATTCTCGGAAATTTCAAAATGTAAGTGGCCCATAACTTTTGAACCGATGCATCAGACGACACAACGTAGGACTGAATGTATGGTTTATAGAAATAAAGATCTTCATTTTAAGTTGAAATTTATAGGCTATCCCCCCTGATTTTCAGGCACGAATCCTTAAAATACTGTAGATGTTCTGTAATTCATCCAACCGCTGAGTGATGTTTATTAATTTGTAGATGTTATTAAAATGCTGTATTATACAATACTTGATCATGGTGTGCTATAACTTGAATTCATAATGATAAATTCTCAAGTAAATTAAACCAAATTCAAACCCTGACTTCGAATTGAGCTTAACAATACGTGAACGGCGGGTAATTAATATAAGAAGAGCTTCGCATGTATGGAATTTCGGGCATGCATGCATAGTTTTCATAATAAATAATTAAGACGAAAATGAGTTTTATGCTGATGCTTACAGGGTGTGCACATCTCCGAATTGTTGGAATATTCCTGGAGGAACTTCTTGAACAGCGGTGAATTTGAAATCCCTGCTCAGGGAAAAGAATGTTTTCACGTGTTCAAATTGTGAAAGCGTTTTTTCAAACTCACAGAATCCTTGTTGTTTTGGCAAAAGCGAAGGTAGAATTAACCACGGCAATATTTTTGCAACGGAGGGTGTCTCCAGAGCAGGAACATTCATTTGGACAATATAACTCACCGTCTACCGCAGATGTATTGTGTGTACTATTCTGAACGGACAAAACCACTAGCAAAACGTTTGCAAAAATTATTGCCCCCAAAGCAGCGTTCGCCATTCTTTCTGGCGGGGAGATAGACGCATGAAGGCGAATGACGACCAAAATTGGATTATACTGGTAGGTAAAATCCAATATTTGGTGTAAGATAAACATTTGCTCCGGTTACTGATACTTCGGTGTTGAGTTGCAGCATCAATTCCGTGGGAGATGTAAACACTAGCGGACTCAGTATGATGAAGTTTCCTACAAGTGGATTGCTTTCTCTGCACTTTGATTATTTTGGCGCGTCACGAAAATCCAAAATGGCGATGTACGTCTTTAGAATGATGTGAATGTGCATCATGCATGGTGAAAAAGCGATTGTTCAGAACAAGAGTGCGAAGATTTTTACGAATGGGTTTCTGTGAAGTTTTTTACGTTCATGTGATTTTACTGCGTGATGTGGTAATTGATGCTCATGTCCAACGTTTCCAAAAATTAGTTTTGACCTTGTTTCTCCGACTTTAAATCAAAATACAGTATCTTCGCGAATTCGGCAAGAATATCGCGCAGATCGTGAACGTTTTCGGTGCGTGCAAGGCGTGTTTGTGATGGGATTAAGCCAAAGTGTTGAAATTCCGGGCGGTGGAACTGAAGGATATCATGTCCTCCGAGTGCAAGAAAACTCCCCTGGTGCTGCTGCTGGAATCGAAGCTTTTTTTGATTTTATCGTTGCACTGAACGGCGTCCGGCTTGACCAGGATAATGAAACCCTCAGGGAAATTCTGAAAGCTAACATCGATAAGCCTGTAGCTGTCACACTTTACAACAGCAAATCCCGACAGGTTCGTGAGGTTCCCATTACTCCCAGTGCGATCTGGGGTGGACAAGGCCTTCTAGGAGTTTCGATTAGGTTTTGTTCGTTCCAAGTAAGTCCTATTCATGATATTCAACGATTATGATATTTTCTGGCTTTTCGTGAGAATGAGGTTGCTTGATTTCCTTAGGCAGCGAACGACAACGTATGGCACGTTTTGGATGTTATTCCTGGATCTCCTGCCGCAGTCGCGGGATTCAGACCATTCACCGATTTTATTGTTGGTGCCGACTCGGTACTCCCAGAAAACGAGGACCTTTTCGCACTTGTGGAGGCAAATAATGGCCGTCCATTGAAGCTCTATGTTTACAATACCGAATCAGACTCCTGTCGTGAAGTGACGATAGTGCCAAACTCAGAATGGGGTGGAGAGGGGAGTTTAGGTTGCGATATCGGTTACGGTTATTTGCATAGAATCCCGTCAGATTCCATTCCGAAACCACCTTTACCAAGGAGTTCTACCGGCTTGACCCTACCGGTGATAGACCCGATTGTCGATTGTCCCGAGGGCTTGGAAGTTGTCGAACCACCGGCAGAAGATGAAAAAGCGGTGGAGATAATGTCCAACTCATTTTCGCAGATTACTGTGAACTCGAGTCTGAACCACGTAAGTTCTCTTCAATTTCGAATCTCCTCTGCATTTCCTCTTCTTTAATTTTTTTATTTTTGCTTGTTTTCCTGTTGGCTACAAGTTGAAAAGTTGAAAGTGCATCGACTCAAACGTCTACTTCACACACCATGTACAGTACTTCACCGCTCTAAACTGACGTCTCTCATACACCATATTGAAGGCGTAGCATTTGGATCACTTCATACAGCATTTTTTTCTCAAGTTAGGAAGAAGCTGTATTGTAAGAATTTCTTAAAATTTGTGAATATTGAGAAATATAAAGGCATTTAATTCTCCCAGTGAAAGTTCGGATGAATACTGATAATCTTGGCTCTCTGTTGCCCTCCGCTCATTTTAATTCGCAATAATTTTCTTTTTACCTGCACAAATATTCACAAAATTCGACCGGTAAATCTTAGTTATGTCTGCGATTTCTGAAGCTACAGTAAGTATCTATTATGAATTGAACCTCATCATGGGCCTAATTCTACGACCATTTGATGCTGAAAAGGGAGAGGTGATATTATCATTCTGTGGAAATTATACCCTGACGCGTTTCGTATGACTTGGTTGCCGTATGGGTGACATACATTTACATGCTCTGACCAAGAAGATGACCTACCGAAGTGGCTATGATGTGTAGAATTTATATGGAATTATTTTTATTACAGTCGGATTTAGCAGTGGGTCCAAACTTCGACTCCCAGATGAGCACACAGCCTTTTCACTCCCATCCATCTCCTCCACCTGTCCAACCGCACGGTATCCCCAGTGTAACTCCTATGGGGATGGTGCAAACTCCACTAAATTTACCTGGTCTGCCGCCAATCACAGTTTCAGCATCTCTGCCTCCCGAAGCACTTGAAGGGCTCAAGGCGTCGGGCAGTCCCGTAATGATAAGTCCTTAACGTGATGTTTCTTGCAATTCCGATTGATCGAGTTGACACTTAATTCGGAACGCGGATGTTGTTGACCACGGAAGATGATTATAATGCACAGTTTCGTGTTTGATCCTTTCTTGCTCTGTGTTTTTGGGGAAGTGAGAACATATTTCTTGTTGATGGGCCGTGTTTTTTGGCGGATGCGTTGAACTTCTTGCGTGAGGAAAACATATATATCAATTTATTTCATTGCATGTGAGATGTTCTGCGTTAAGTTACTCTCAAATTAATCTCTATCGCGATTTTGCAACAAACCACTAAAATTATCCTTTTCTCGTGAGGAATGTTTGCCACCGCGATCCGTAGTTTTCGCTTCTGCAGAAACACTGCTATTCTTAGAAACAGTGCTGTCCGGTCCTCGTTCAAATCCGGCGAGATTTACGACAGAAAATGGTCATTGAAATCAGATCCATTCGTGAACTTCGTTCCACCGTGGATTGTCATGAAGATTGGGATGCTGGGTAAACCGTTCGCTGTTATGGTTGGTCGAGGTCTGCGTGGACGCTATAAGAAGATGCCAAAAGGTGACCGAGATAAGGTATTTTCAAACCATGTGCATGTATTTTTTCGTTGTATATTTAATTATCTTCTGATTCATGCGTAATCGCTTTCATCCAAAATTTAACCACTTTCTGCGTGCGGTTGAAATACAGTACAGTACTTTCATTAAAAAATACTTACACGTTCTCCGAATAGTATTTAATCGAAAATGCTGTATGAACTATGAAGATTGTTAGGTCAACCACTAAGTGTGTGCATCCTCAGAATAAACCCAGTCCGAAAAATAAGCCCTTGAACAATTATACTGAGGCATGTTTCGAAGGATGAACAGCGTAAACTGAATCTAAATTTATGAAAAATGAATAAGTCCGTTCTCAAACTATTATTAATTTTCAAATTCCACTTGCCATTATTGCACGGGAATTTGTAAGTTCTGGGAATGCTGTAAAAAAATTATCAATGTGGGAATACACGAGCGAGTTTATCTTAATCAACTTCAGCGAACATCTATTGGTCAACCATTAGCAAAAATTTTCCCATTCAAGTAAAAATGTTCAAGAGTTGCTCTACGAACTAAAAAGCTGAAGTGCGATCTCATGAAGTATATTGCAGTTTCTTACGCGAAGATGTGAAAAATTTCAGCGAATTATTATTGTTAGATTTTGGTAACGGTTTTTATTGTGGCTTTATAAGGGCTGTCGAAGCACTTGAGTTCGTACGTCTTCCGCACCTCATGAGGTTGCCTTTTTGGATGCCCTGAAATTTTATACATATGTTTTGCCTTTTCATGCGAGCAAAGTGATCAACCCCCTATAAAATTTCATTTGAATTTTTTTATTATTGCACGAAGGGGAAACGCGAAGTATTTATTCACATCGATGCGCATCGTGAACATTTGTTTTAGCTCCACAGGAAGTTGGTGCTGGTGTTCTCAGGCTCAGTAGTTGCGGGAGTTCTTCTGTATCTTTCGCATATCGAAGAAGCGCCCTTAACTGGACGGAGGCGATTCGTTCTCGTTTCTAGAGAAACTATTCTGGAAATGGCTTCTGAAGAAGGCAATATGTTGGCGCTTCAGCTTGGGAGCAAAATTTTACCGCCGTCGCATCCTAGTTACGCTACAGTGAGAAGAGTTGCCAGCAAGCTTCTCGCTCAAGCTCCGAAGATGAATATGGATCGAGATGAGTGGAAAATTTCGGTTGTTCAAGGAGAAGACATGAATGCCTTTGTTCTGCCTTCCGGATGGATTTTTGTTTTCACCGGATTGTTGGACATTTGCGAGAATGATGATAGGTCAGTTTTAATTTTCTGGCTATTGAATCAAAAACTTAATTTGGTCCACGCATTTTATTGAACGGTAGATCTCTTGACTGAATTATTGGTGCGATAAATGCAAAAGCTATTCCTTACTTCGTACTAGTCACGTAAAAATATCTTCATTTAGCCTCAAATAATGGACAACAATCTTTGCACAGTATCCGTGAAAGTCAGGTGCAGGACACTCGTCAATCTGGAATTTTCATCACAATATTCAATGTTCATCCGCTACCTTGATATATTTTTACGCGATTAGTAGCTTTTGCTTATATTACACCAATAATTACATTTTCTGGAGTGTTTTCGAAGTTATCAGCACCAATTCAACTGCGCTTCAACTTCCTGTAAATCAATTGATGCAGAAAAATGAGTTCTATCAGGAATTTGTTGGCGAGTTACTCTCGCGGTGTATGGAAGCATTATTTTATTTTTTTGAGAATAAGGGTCATGCGACGACAGCTTGTTGACGAAAGGGTTTCAAAGCTGAGCTCTTTTACGTTTATTAATTTTATCATTCACGAGGTGTCAATTTTTACCTCTGATGGGTTTCATTTGTCCAAGTAACACCTAGTCACGACCTCTCATGACGCTCGAGCTTTAATTATATATTATTTATTACAACTGTACACCTTAGTGTCAACGTCATAGTAATCTAGTCTTAATTGCTCGTTAAATGTTTCAAAAACAATGTTTAACCCGATATACTCATAATTTTCAGTGAAGTAAGTAGTCAATCATTCCATCCGCTAATTCCAACTCGGGTTATGGCCTTTCTTTCAAGTTCATCTTTGAAAATTGACTCCTTTTCGTGGTGACTACCCCTATGCTCAATGGGAAGTGGTACGTGTTCAATCCGCTCTAAAGCCCTGTTTCAGGATAACCTCCTCATTAAGCATCGCGAACGCAAAAATCCTTGGAATGATTCTGCGATTGTTACAGAAATGCTTCAACCGCGTGAGGATTTGCCATTCATTTAAAATATCTGGTAACGAATCTTCGACTGCTTTTCCCTAGGCAAAGAGATTTCCCTTCTCTTTGTCACTGTTTGAGTTTGAGCGAAAAAAAAAATTAGAACGTTGGCCAGGAAAGGGTTTCGAATTCATAACGCCAATCAGTGATTGGCGAAACTTCTGAATTACCGCCGGATATCGTTAAGTAAACACATTTGACGGTTTATGCTTCAGGTTGTCAATCATTCTTGCGCATGAAATCGCCCATTGCCTGATCGGACATCAACAAGAAATGGCTAGTCAAGCTACGCTTCTTCAGTTCTTGCTCTTCATCCCATTGCTGGCGCTATGGATGGTGTTGCCGACGGACAGCGTTTCGGTGCTTTCTGGTAAAGTCGCCGAGATGATCTCCGACTTCTTCTTGAAGCTGCCTCACAATCGAACGATGGAACGAGAAGCTGACTTCGTCGGGCTTCAGCTTTCCGCCGACGCATGTTACGATGTGAGAGAAGCTGTGATTTTCTGGAAGATGATGATGGTACGTTCCTTCGTTTTTATTTATTTTTTCTAATTCAATATAGTCTTGAAGAGTTACTGAGGACAGTTTTGTTGCTTGATTTGATCTACCTATTGTTTGGTTTTTTCTCCAACGTGATCGAGTTTTTGATTCCCTTTCAAGACAAGCAGAGGAGAATTTTAAAATACACCATATTCAATGTGTAACGGCTGACGTTGAATGTTGACCGTGCATATCCGATTTTGACTCCGAGAGCACAATAATTTTTGAATTTGGCCAAAATCTGAAGATTTGGTACAGTACAGTTCTTACAATTATTTAAATTCACGTTACTGTTCATGAAATGTAGGGGAAAACTCGAGAATGATGTTCAGGGGAAACGTGTGCAGATAGAACATCGTTACTGAGAAGCCGCATATAAACAATTGTAGTGAGTGAAGAGCGAATAACTCTTGAGGCAGATTTCCAGATCATGAAAATCCACGAAGAATGACTGAAAAACGTTATCTAGTTTTAGAAAATTAATTCTGTGAAAAATAGATGTATTTCGGTACATCCTTTGTTTGTGATAGCTCTGGGGAATTAATCTTATTGCACTTAGCAAGTTGAATTTAACAAGTAATATCTATAACTGTTAACTTCCAAGTGGTAAATCGCTTTTAGTCAGAGCCGTTTTACCGCAGTTACGCATTGTTCTCTAGAGTTTCTGCATGTGAACTTTCTAAGGATGATTGTAAGCATTATTCAGATTTCCCTTTAAATGAAGAAATTTTCTCGCAGCCGGCAAAATTTCTGCCAATCGGCGCAGGTCCGTGGACAACGGGTTGTCGAACACTGCTCTATCAAGCATCAGTTCTTATTTTTGAAATTTATATCAACTTCGAAGGCGAGATATTGAAAACTTTGGCTTCGTCTTTCAGTTACACGAGAAGTCAAATTCAGCACCCGCGGTGCCAGAACTCCTCAGCACGCACCCATCTCACGAGTCGCGGTTGGCAACTATTGAGCGTCTTCTACCCGAAATGTTGGAACGTCGCGCGGATAAAGGTTGTCCGATTTTAAACAGACGAGACATGAGTCGAATTTTCAATGCACTCGACGAGGCGGCCTCTCGATCAGAAAAAAATGGAGTCCCAATTGACTGGTCTGAATTATCACCGAGGTTGAAGTGATGGTTCTCGTGGATTTCCTGTAGATTTTGCGGTCCTTCAGCGATGGCCTTGGTAAAGGGACTCTCCGGTTCATTGAAAGTCTTCATGGTTGAAGATTGTTTGTTTAACTGGCCTCACCCCTGGAATATGATGTTATTGAAATATTTTGGATGTGCGATGGTTGACGTTGTGTGAACTACTGAACTGTGATAGTGAAATACGAAATACGCCCAGAATTTGCGTGTGTGTGGCGGGAGGATATTCTCAAAAGCTCTTCCGACATCATCGAAAACTCCTGGCTTTCATCCTCAACAGATGCAAAATATTTTTCGCAATCAATTTCATCTACAATGCTCCAATTTAATTTTCCCGATATTGAGATTCCAAATCAATATTTGTAACGAAACGGATAGAACAAGAGTTAGTAGAAATTCACCATGGGAAGGAGAAGCGTCGCTCTTGCAGTCTTTTCCGTTTTCCGAGTAGTTCACGTGCAGACGATTTTTGAAAAACTCGAGAATGTGTCAGGAGATCAAGCTCAAAATCGTGCAACTCTTGTGGGAATTTTTTCCTGTATTTTCTGAATTGGAAATTTTTACTGGAAAAGTGAGCTGCAAGAAACGCGGGGCATTTGAATCTCCGAAAATAAGATCGCCCAATTTAAATTGCCTCTGATAACGGAGCAAAATAGTTTGTTGCGATACTACAATGAGGATTTTCAAGTTGATTTCGGAGCTTTTTTCATCAGTCTACTTTCACTATTACTCTCATGCTTGAAAGGAACATATTGACTTTCATTTTCATAGTATTTTTGCTTGCATGCAGATCTAACCACGTCGCGTTGAAATACGACTGCAAAATGTCGCACGAGAATGTGAGTCGTAATTTGCTGAATGTGCAACATTTGGTCGGTGATGCGGATGTTGAGCAACTATTGGGAATGGCAAACAGAGCGAGCCTTTCGGAACAGCCGATTCCTGTTCTTCCCGGGTTGGGCTTTGATGAAAGCATTTTACGGAACTTGCCGTCTATTGCCAGAAGGTGAGTTCAATTTAATTTGTATTGTCAAACCGTTATAGAGCTCCTGTATGCAGCTTTAATGTGTTATTTTCGAAAGTACTAAATTCAGTGCATCTCACCTTGTTCTCTGTATGTGCCTCGAGTGGTTACTGTATTGTGTTTTCCGAAAGCATTACTCGTCAAATGTCCCCTAGCTTCCTAGCATAACCAGAGTTTCATGCACAGGTTCAACATTGGTCTAATTCCGGAAGTAAGTCCTGATAAAGTACTACCAACATTTCATCTCATATTGGAGACGCTTTCAGTGATTATTCATTCAATTTTCTCTAATTAAATTTAACCGCTGAACGTATTTTTTTCTTCTAGTTTTTCAGCAGGAGGATCCGGAGTTGGCGAAAATTTCTCCACAAGAGAAGATCAGGAGAACCCAGATCTTGAATACAATGATCAAGAGGACGACGATAATGAGGATGAAGGAGACGAAAACGCCAGCGGGTCTCGTGCCAAAGGTAAATTTCTGTACAATCTACTGCACGGTAAAGTATTAGAAGTTTGAAAATGTACGTCATCCAGTTGAGTGTAAAATGAAATCAGAACTTCTCAGATATTCTGACCCAGGAACTGAAAGAATAATAATGTCTGAATAAACTGAATGAATAATGATGACAGTACTAACCGAATGACAGTGCTGATACTGCCAGCAGCTGGCGAATTCCGTAAACAATGAATTGATTTTTCTTCAAAGCTGACAAGTGAGCATCGTTGGTTCAGTGGTAGAATGCTCGCCTGCCACGCGGGCGGCCCGGGTTCGATTCCCGGACGATGCAGATATCTTTTGAAAACGAAAGAAAATTCCTACTGAGAAGCACTGTACCGTTTCACCTTTTGTCATTCGTTGAAGTTTCTCAAAAGGTGAAACGGTACAGTGCTTCTCAGTAGGAATTTTCGAAAGAAAATTCGGTACAGTGCTTCTCAGTAGGAATTTTCGAAAGAAAATTTCTACTGAGAATTTTCTAAAGAAAAGTAAGAATTACTAGTAAGAAAGTAAAGTAAGAAGAAGAAAAGTAAGATAGTAAGAATTACTAAAGAAAAGTAAGTAGGAATTTTCGAAAGAAAATTCCTACTGAGAAATTAAGAAACGTACTGAGAAGCACAGTTATCAGTTACAGTTTTCAAAAGATATCTGCATCGTCCGGGAATCGAACCCGGGCCGCCCGCGTGGCAGGCGAGCATTCTACCACTGAACCAACGATGCTCACATGCTGCATAGAAGTCCATCCATTGTTTGCATTTTTATTTAGGAATCTTGACAGCATTTTAATTGACAGATGCAATTTCTTAAATTCAAAATTTCTACGTACTAAAGATAGAGTTGTTCATAATTGTAGGAATTTGAAAAGATACCTCAAGTGGGTAAAGTTTCCCTTCTTTCTAATGTTTCACAATCTTCGTGAGCTTTTTAGAAATTGTGTTCACGATCTCCAGTTTAAATTGCATATTATTGTCTGCGCATCGCTTCATGCAATCCTAGAATGACTGAATCTTTTTAGACTGCAAAAAAGCCAAATTCTGAAAAGCTTAATGGCTTCAAAGCGGAAATTTACTCTTCGTGTTCTAGGCGCTGACAGCGAAAGTTCGGCTGGCGGTGGAAATTCTTCCAAGAAAAATCGGCAAGGAAAGGCCGTCCGTTTGAGTGTCAATGCTCGCGAAAGACGTCGGATGCATGATTTGAACGACGCGTTGGATGAGCTTCGCTCCGTAATCCCTTACGCTCACTCGCCGTCCGTACGAAAGCTTTCAAAAATTGCAACCCTGCTTCTTGCCAAGAACTACATTCTGATGCAAGCGAACGCTCTGGAAGAAATGAGAAATTTGGTAAGCTCATCCGTTCATGTTCGACTTTCATTCGATATACAGGAGAGTTTCCTCTTATTCGTTTCGTCATGGACTCCTTTTCTTCTATCATTTCGTCGCCGTTCATTTATAGCGTTAAGATAGAAACCTCATAGTGTGCTCAAAAAAATTTATTTTCGTATGCTTTTTCAACGATTGGAATGTTTTCTCCCTCACATTTCTTCCAAATGAATGTCATGCCAATCCTGAAAATGGCATTGCAGTACTGTACTTCAATATTATTTCAATGAAATTTTGAACACGTACGAAAAACTGTGAATGGATACCGTCCATTTTAATGCGGTTCGTCTAGTTAAGTTAAGATGTTGATTCCTGCATTTAGTTGTGAATTATGGAACTAAAAAAAAAGGAACCAATCCCCCTCCGTTTGTGTCATGCATGTCGAAAGGATTTTCTTCTAACGATGGATATTTTTTGCAATTCGAAGTTATTTCTCTCGTAATGTGAAGAATCGGGTGTACTGCACTGTGTTGAGACATGCTGAGAATTTGTCGCCAAATGTTTCCTGGCTACTCGGGGATTTTCTTTGTCGTTACAGAAGTGTCGCATGTATCGAGTTACATTTCACTCGATTCCTGCATAAATTTGATCCTGTATTACTCTTTATTATGTTTGTCTCACATGAATTTCAGTAAGTTTATTTTCGCGTGAGTTATGTTATTTTTGGTGAGTATGTATTTTGTCTCTCAGAATCGGGGATGACTTGGGTTTGATTGCATCATGTTGAGATATATTTTTTTTGTGTATTGATTCATGTAAGGGGCATTTTAAGAAACAATCTTTGAGAATGTAAGGTAAAATTTTACCGATACATGTTGGAAATTTTACATCACTCCTTGTTTTTTCTCTTCTTCACGCGTCCGTTTCGGTTCAACTTCGTCGATATTTTTGGTTGATTTCAATTGTCCGTCTCTTCGTATTTCAGGTCGTTTTCCTGCAGCAACGCTCTGGAATCGCGATTGCCTCTTCAGGACTCGCAGCTTTATTTCTCTCGTAATGTGAAGAATCGGGTGTACTGCACTGTGTTGAGACATGCTGAGAATTTGTCGCCAAATGTTTCCTGGCTACTCGGGGATTTTCTTTGTCGTTACAGAAGTGTCGCATGTATCTAGTTACATTTCACTCGATTCCTGCATAAATTCGATCCTGTATTACTCTTTATTATGTTTGTCTCACATGAATTTCAGTAAGTTTATTTTCGCGTGAGTTATGTTATTTTTGGTGAGAATGTATTTTGTCTCTCAGAATCGGGGATGACTTGGGTTTGATTGCATCATGTTGAGATATATTTTTTTTGTGTATTGATTTATTTAAGGGGCATTTTAAGAAACAATCTTTGAGAATGTAAGGTAAAATTTTACCGATACATGTTGGAAATTTTACATCATTCCTCTTCTTTTGCGCAGGCAAAGCCAAGTTGAAGCAGCTATAAAAACCAACTAAAGTTAACAGGCAGAGAAGCATAAAGTCCAGCAAAAGGACGTCGTTGCGAGACCTTAGCGCTAACGGAGAAGTCCTGAGCGTCGGGGAAGTGCGGGAATGCCGGTAAACCCGGGTGTGGTTCCGGTGCCGGGAAGCTCTGTAGGCTCGGCGGAAGGGCACAGGTCCCATTTGCATACCAAAGATTGCAACCGAAACGCCGGCAAGAGTCAGCCGAGAGCCAGTCCGTTGATTCTGCCGGACTCGAAGCCGACTTTCGATGGACTATGAATTGCTCGAAGAGCTTCGTCCTGTGCCAAAATATCTTCTTGTCTCCATTTCCGATGATCTCTTTCCAGGTAGTGTTGTGGTGATTCCGTCGAATGTGACTAGTCGGTTGATCTCAGTAGGTGAAAGGATGTGAGAATTCCAGTAGATTTTTCGGGATTTCCGTGATGATGCATTCACTTCGTTCGTCTACTCGTCTAAAATGATATTGGGATGAGATTCTTACCCGGAAAAAGTTTACGATTTTGGAAAATAAGTTCAAAGCTTTTGTAATTACTGAAAGTAGGAGAAATTTTTCCCTGGAATTCCCGCTGATTCTACTTGAATTTTCTGTTATCTCATCCTCATCTTTGTTTATTTGTTGGTGAATAACTTTCTGAACTGATCTCGAGAACTAGTCGTTCATTTTGTGAGCAATATTGTGCCAAAAATGTGCGTGTGTTTGTTCGTACGCGATGATTTCAGAGCCCAAAAATACAAGTTTAAAAAGGATTTTGTCTTACGTCATTTCCAAGAACGCTCACTTCTACGTACAGTGCAATACATGCATTTCAGAATTCAATGCAGTATTTGAATATTTTTCAACAACCGACGCAACAGCTTAAAGCTAAAGGGACCTTAAGGATTAACATCGAAGAACCCTCTTATAGCATGACGTCACCACATCTAACATCTTCTATAAAGAACAGCTCTTTTAAGGCTAGTATTAAGAGGGAAGCACTTTATTTCTCAACTCTTTCTAGAATTCGCAATCATAATGAAGAAATGGATTCCTTTTCCCCCTTCTTCTGTTCCATGTGCGCCGGAAAGCATGTCTCAAAAAACAATTTATTTCTTGGAAGAACTTACGTTTGTGGCTTAAAGTATTTCAGTACTGTACTTTATTTGATTTCTGCCCATTTTTGTTTCATTTTATTTTCTGGAATTGCTGCAATTCATCTGCAGGATGCTTGATTAAATCCCATCGGACAGACGGGAGAAAATTATGGAGAACCTCAGGTATTTTTTAATTGGGAAGTGTGATCTACACTTTAATTGATTATTTAATAAAACTTCGCTTTTCTCGGACGATGTGTATTTGCGTTCAATGGCGCATTGCGACTGCATTACGTAAATTGCAGTCTGGTAAACAAAGTCATGAAGTAGCTCCAGAAGGTTCAATGCTAGAAGGATTTTCAAGATTTGGGGGACTGATTTGCATCCGGAAGTGCGGGTACAGTATTCATAGTGGGGGAAGATTGATTGTCTGAGGTGGGTCTGTGTACTCTGTGATGAGGAAGTCGGAAAAGAAGTAAGCGACTCGTTCCTTAGTTTAAACCCATAGGATAATTTCCGCTAGGAAGAAGCCATACGTTTTAGAAGTCCATCTCTCGGTTTGATGATACCCTCCCCTGCTTAATTTTTTTTTTTTTTTGCGACCTGAACTCTGTTGAGAAATATTCACTGAATTGTATAGGGGTACAGCATAGATAAGCGAAGATCCGCTTTTGACACCTGCAGGAGTTGGCCTATACGACTTCATTGAAGCCCCGCAACTGTGAACCCAGCGGCTGCAGTTGGAAAAGTGACCCAGGGGCTTCCAGTGAGGGGCTTCCCTGCGTTCCTCGTATCCTCACTGATGCCAAGACTGAGTTCAGTGGATCCCCGCTTAAATAATGACTTAATAGAACGAAACTTTCCTTTTCGGGAAGAGGGTTTACGTAACAAATTATTCACGCATAAACGCGAACAAAAATGCATGAATTGTTGGTCCGAAGATTTATTTTACTCGTCATATAATTTTTTCAGGATTTTTGCAAAGGCGAAAATTGTTGGGAAAGGGACAAATATCCCAGCCATTAATTCAGTTACAGGTGAATTTCTAGCATTTTAGCGCTAACAAAACTTTTATAATATTGATCTCTTCCCAATCCACGATTTCTATTACAATCATTGCAGTGGGAATTTTTTCTGGAAATGCTAGTTAGTAGGGAAAGAGATAGGGGAAAAAAACCAGCGGAAAAATTTCAGTCAGAAATAAATCAATAATTAGATCCAAATCTGCTTCTTGGAAGAGCGTATAATTTGTAATCAAGAAATTTGGTTACTCGTTCCATCATAAATTTTCATTCAGCTTGGTAAGTTCATTTTGCTTGAAACTGCTTAGATTTGGCGCGGAAAAGTTGACAAAAACAAATCATCATCTCGCTTGAGATTCGCTTTGCCAAAGTTGCCGACATTTTTCAGATCACTGTCATGACACATCGACAGTATTTACAAATTTAAAATAAAGTACGGTCATAAAACTAGGAATTTGTCAAGTAATGCCTGCACATTTTTGACAACAGTTTTTTTTACCGCACTGAAAAGAATTGAGAGTCCTTGACAATGTTACAAGAAGTTAGCAATCTTTGTGGTGCTTTTCTAATGTGGAGAGCTGAGAGAAGTGCTGGACATACTACAGTATACAGTAATTAATTCTTGGACTGTGCCCTTATGTTGGAATGTATGTTCACAAGTTGGTTAACATCTTCCCATATAGACTTCAATAGTAACTTCTCAAATCACTTATATCATGCTTTGCAAAAAATTGAAGTATTATAGTCCCTTTAAATACAATATAATTTTGTGATTCGTTACTAAAAGAATCAGGAAATAGCTGGGCAGAAGAAAACCACGAAGAAATGTCCATTTTGGCTTGAAAAAGAGTTGTCAAGACAAAGTCAAAAATAAATAAGCCCACGTATTTCTATACGGTGAACAGTTGATGGAAAACCCTTAAAATCTACTGATCTCTATAAAATTGGTCTGTTTAAGAAAATACATCATAGTGTGACGTAACAAGGTATATTTTGATTTTTCCATGGCAGTAGCTTTAGCTTGATTTGTTCATGAGATATCAAAGTATAGTATTTAAAAGTATTTAGTTTCCATTTTGTGGAAATTTTGGCGAAGTGTCGAGAAGTTCAGACATTGTTCGATTGGGGCCTCTGCATGTTGGGGACACACCTATGCTGTATATTCGGGTTCGTATTTTGACATTTCACTGTTGGTCTGTTTTCTTGAAGACTTATACTTCTTTACTTTCTTGAGTAGTATATGCCTGCGTAGAAATTGCCTTTGGCATAATAAAATAATTTATCTGATTATTATTTATCTATTTATTTATTATTTATACTTTATAAGTGTAAAACTACAATTGAAGATTTCAATAAGAGTAAGAATCCCAGGTCATCAAATGTATAATTTGTGATTGTTTTGATATTTTCAAAAATGATGGGAGCAAATTACGAAAAGTTTCAAAAACAGCATACAATTTCAAGAGCTTGTGAATGGTTGCGTTGATGTGTCCAAAACCCGCGTTTCGCCATGAAATCGTTTACTGTACAGGTTTATTATTTTTTTCAACGTATACATTTCTGCACATATTTTATTGAGAGGGAATCAATTTTCTTTCAATTGAAATAAAACAAATGAAGCTGCAAAACCATTTTTTGCGCAAATGTGTTGTAGTTTCATTTCATATTTTATGCATCATTGCATAACATAAGCAGATTATACTTTTTTCTAGAATGATTGCATACTATACAGGGCTATTCACTCAAACTCTTGTTCAAAATCTTTCTTTTAAGCTTAGCATTTTTTCGTGAAATCCGCGTTTATTTTTCAAAGCTGACGATTGTCCCATCATATTTCATGGGATTAAATTAGATCAAAACATCATACAGCCTTTCATCTTCATGAAGGGTTTGTTATTCTGAAAAAAAATGTACCGATTTTCAAAATTCATACCTCTTGAGCAGTCAAAGATACTGTGTAAGATTAACGTAATCAATTGGAAGATTAATTTTATTTCAAATTATATCCACTTTGATTCGATTAGTGTAAGTGCATTTATATAATATATAACCAGCAGAGAAGATGAACCTTAGCTCGAAATATATTTGTTTCAAACGCTTGTTTTTCATCACCAATTCAATTAAATCAAATGATTGTCCATCAAAAGAAAATTGAATGAATTTAATTATGTTTTGAAAATTATCTTATACTGTATTATTTATTCTGATATGATGAAATAAAATGCATTTACCGTATACAGTACAGGTGGTACCTCACAATTAGACCCTAATCTTTTATGCCAAACTAGGGTCAAATTGCAAAGCAGTCAAATTGCAAGACACTTTTTAAAATTATAGAACATCAGTACAAAGACACAAAAACTTGGCCAAAGCAAGTCAAATTGTGGGGCAAGGGTTGAATTGCAAGTCATCCTCCCTGCAAATTTGAACGTTGAATTGCGGGATGGTCAAA